CAATCAGTGTTATTAATGTAGTGGTTAATACAATACTAATTAAGTTAATAATCCCGCGCCGCTCGCCCAAGGCCTGCGCTTTTGGAGTATTGTTTCGTTCTACCATATTTCGTTTAATATGATCCTTTCCGCCTCTACATCTTTTCGTGCAGAGGTTAACGCATTATCCACGTCTCTCGTGGCCTTCTCTTCTCAACCCGAACTCTTCAATTACCTCGCTCCCTCACTGCTCACTCACTCATCTCCCGCTCTCGTGTGCTTTCGAGGTGAGCTCACACCGCGCGTCACAGCATCCTAAACCAGCCCCACGAATGCATCTGAGCTCCTGCCCTGAGGCGTACTCCCAAAATCACAACCCGAGCTTTCTTTGAGGACAGCTCAACACCTTCGCGCTTCAACACCCTCTCTTCCGCAGCGATCTCAGTCCACGGCCTCGCCCTTGCCTTTTTTGTTACGTAATTATATGTTTGTCCTTGCTGGCAAGGGACTTTGCCTATGTATATTCTGTAAATAGTCCTGGTGAGTTGTTTGTTCTTACTTCACATTCTCTATCACTGTTTGATTGACCCTGTCTGAAAGGAATTTTTAATGGTACTCGGATTGGGGGCTTCCCGGGTTTCTTTTCTTCTCCTTTGCAATTTTGGGAGTTTTTGCTTTGAAATTGCGAATTTCGAATTTGCTTGAAAATTTACCTTGCTTCTGGGTGTTTAATTTTTTACGGTTCTTCTTCGTCTAATAAATCTCTCTTGGACGTCGGTGAATTAAGGCATATAAGAACTACTGGTATAGCTGTCAATTTTTTTCGTGTCTATAGTTTTTCCTGTAAGTGACATATAAATCATCTGGACTCTATGGACAAGATAGTGTTATAGTTATTATATATGCTTTCTTCTCGGTTTTGGTCCTCCTCCTATCTTGAATTGTAACTGAACTTGAGGTTTAATGTAACTAGTGTATGGTTTAAGAGTCGACAGTAGTGCCTTCTAAGTTGATCTACAATGTGGTATGTGTTGTGGTTATTTTTTTCGGAATTCCAAATTGGGGGTTTTTTGGTAATCTTGGATCCAGAGTGAATTTTATCGTTTTTGCCGGTTACCGTCCTTCTCAATCAAACTATTTGGGAGGTGCAAAGGTATTGTGGTGATGAGTCTCTGAACATCTTTTAGTGGTTTATCCAAGTAGAACAACGAGTCTATGTTCTCACTACCTCACTATCTACATTGATACAATTTAATAGCATAATTATTGCGAGTTGAAGTCGTAGACTGTGACTATAAAATATGATCTGGAGCCGCATACATTCATATCTGTGATATCATAATTACCTTTTTGATTTTTGAATTTATGAGAAGCATTGATTTTATTATGATGAAATAAATGTTTTTTGGACTGACTATGAACATTATTTATATGCTTTTTAGAGGGTTTTATGGAGATGAGCCTTTTGTGAATTATTTGCATTGCAAACTACCCTTGATAAAACCTTTGTATGTCCTTGTTTTTAATAGACAAATATGTGTGTATATTTGTATAAAATATACAATGCAGATTTAATCTATGAGTGGTGTTATGTAATCTGAGATCTGGTAAGCAGTAATTGATAAAAAATCTATTTCTTGTTTGAGGCGTGAAGTGATATTTATATTGCAAAAGATTCCTCACACTGCTCTCAGTACTTTAATGTGTTAATCAGTGATTTTGGTATGGATAGAGTCCTGAGTACTAGGCTATAATTGGAGTTGGGAGAGCCTTTATGTCAGACCACATCTGACAACAGGAAGGCACTAAGGTCAACAGACACAGTGGCAGAGCAACCTCTATACCAAACACAATGTTAGGTTTTACTCTCCGCAATTTCCACTTCCGGCAGACCTCTAGTTTTGTTTCATAGTATATAATTGCCACCTGTGCCTGTATTGCTATCAGTATCTAGATTGTATCTTTGATTAAATTAGTTAGATGCTTCATAACACATCAGTGAATTCAAGTAGAACATCTGAATAACCATAACCATCAATTTCATCCCGGCGAGGATCTAAGTATCCGATGTGAAAATTCGAGGATTGTAAAGGAGGGGTTATGCGTGTATGATGGCGGTCGACGATGTTGTGAGGTAGACACCAATAATGAGAGAGTTGGGTGGATTACGAGACGCTGATAGAGAGGCAATATCCGAAATAAATAACATCTTATGACTCTGAGTCAGTTGAAGATAGGTTTAGTGGTATTTTCGAGCCATCTTTGTTTCACATGCTAAAGAAAATGAGAGATAAGAGAACGAAGCAGAGAGATAAGACTGCGTGAATACAATAGATGCAGCTATGATATAGCATAACACCACAGATTGAGCGCACTCACTAGCCAACGGTTAAGCTTAATACTACTCTGAGCATTATGGGTATAGGTCGAGATAAGTAGTACTATCACTAGAAAAGATGAGTTGACTATGAACAGAGAGTAGAGCTATCACCAAATGAAGAGCTCCGAGGAGGATGTATGTAGATATGATGGGAAAAGTTGGCATGAAAGTATATCATGGACAGTTTCCAAGCACACGTATAAGTTTACGTCTGTCGATATTACAGTGTCTGGAAACCAAAGCCTACCTACACTGAGGACAAATTCAACTTGTAAATGAGCGTCTCAAAACGATCTATTGGCACACAAAAGACTCACGTAGATATATTTTTGGACTGGCATTTCTGGAGTAATCACTAATAGACTAAAGTGCAAAGTATACATATTTTGAAGCAGTAGGGTACACGCCTTCGACAATCTTCACGCAACTGGTACAATCACCACTCGTCAGATGAGCGTAGGGTGAATGTCCTGGTAGAAAAATTGGAGAGGAGAAGCCAACGAGTTTGTGGTGATTGACTTTTTAAACAGAAGAAATCCATCATATGAACAGAAGTGAAGCCGGCAAAAGGCTATACATACCAGTGAAACCAAATGACACTTGAAAATACAAACAGATACAAAGGAGACTGCGAAAACTAACCCCCACACGAATTGTTTTTTTTTAAAAAAACAATTCACTAAAGGGAGAATATGGTGTCTCTGTTTGGATAGAGAGAGTCACGAACATGTACCAAAGCTCTATTCCTGTTACCACTTCAGAAAGACAAAGAATATTAATCCTGAAAAAGCAAAAATCTGGTTACATCAAATTACTTTAACAAAAGTTTCTTTCTACACAAGAGATAAATCAAACAATAGCTCTAACAATAAATTCAGACGAAACTAGGATGCTCTAAGATTAAGAATTCTGTAGACAAAAAGGGCTACTCCAGTGAGAGTACTGTCCAAAAGAAATTTACCTTTTTTTAATTTTTTTTTTTTCACGTAAAATAATCATCAGGGAGCAACGTGTTAGCATCAAATGTTCGCAGAATAGCCATACTGGTGACAAGACGCCATAATTAAACGACGCAATAAATGTAACAACAGTCAAACTAGTTCGAAATACAACTCATGCGAGTATCAAATTCAAATAAGATACTAGTCTCACATCTTCACATGCAGGAACACAAATTTCTAGATAGTCACACACTTCAACTCAAATTTGAATGAAATATATAAAAAGACAGAGAGACACGGAGGAAAGTATGGGTGTATGGTAAAACTAAGTACAGCACGATAGTTCAATGTCTCTCTACTGTTCTAAGACTCTCACATACTCTGGGTCTATTGCTGCAACTCTTGCTTCCCACATTTTCAAAATTCAGGCTTGCGCATGATGAGGGGAACAAACAGAGTGATTTAGAGACTATGAACTGCACCAACGGTAGCCAACAATATTCCTGCTACATGAAATATTTCGTAAGAAACATTGGAAGCACACCTAGCATCGATATCCTACGAAAGAATAGAACTTCTAGGAAGTTAATTTATTTTGAGAGACCCGTTGTTTTTGCTCTTCCTTTGTTTCATGCAATCAAAAAAGAAATAATCTCAAAAAGAACTAATCTTCATTCGAAAATGTGTAAGCCATGTTACATTCATCATGTGTGGCATTGTTAGTACGATATAAATTGTGTACTAGAGCTTCAGTGACTTGTCGTAGTCTGTCTGTATTTAGCTGTATAGTTAAGGAACGACACGATGAACCTCATGGAGGTCTATAAAATCTGTAACACAACACCCCAGACATGCAAGTATATTGATATATGTTCCTAATTCAACAGATCAAATTATTCGCAGAGATACTCATACACAGCCTCTCCTAGGATGTCATTGCGGGACCCACCTTCAAAAAATGTTTGCTCTCTTATAGTCCGTGTCAATTACAATGTGGTGCAAACCTGGCCAATTCAGTGCAATTTGGCCTCATACTCAGCTACAGTCATGCTGTTTGCTGTTGTCTTGCTTGAGTTCCATGAATTCTGCCACTTTTCTATCCCGGACACACTGCGGGAAGTACTTGTCATAGAATATTTCTAGAAACTTTACCCAGTTAACATCCCT